GGTGGACTGTATTCTAGTTCATCTTCTTTTTAACTTATGTTAATAATGTATTTGTTGTGGTCTGTGCCAGCACAGAGTCCCGATTCACAATAGTTTAGAGCTAAGACTGAGCCTGGCATTAGCATGCATGCCAAGAAGGACAGAACCATGCTTTCTATTTGTTCCTTTTGACCACACAGAATGCAGAGGGTTAGCCATATTAGTCTGTTTTCGCAAAATTGCATAGGAATCCAGTAGCACCTAAAAGACTAACGTTAGTTCAACATAAGCTTTTGTGAGTCAGAGCTTCAGATATCATCTGAGAAAGTGAACACTGACTCACAAAATCTGCTACCATAAATTTTTGTTAGTCTTTCTTTAGGGTGCTACTGGACCCCCTTCTAATTTTGTTACAGAACTGGTACTGAACATACTTACTAGATCATCTTTTCCATTTACCGTCCAAGCCAGGCCAAGATTGTTTTTCATGCTGTACCATTGCCTGATATAACATCAAGCTGCTTTTCAATAGGCCAAGCAGTTGGACTTCTATCAGTGTCCCAGAGGTGTTTTGTAAGCTAATGGACCTCATGGTCAGGAAGGCCCCCTTTCCCCATTGTGCTAAATGTTCGTTGTTTATTTATCAACCTGTTGTTCTTGGCTGTGTAGCAATTCAAGATGTTTTATCAACAAATTGAGATACAGGACCCTTAGAAGAGTTTCCTAGTAGGCAAATATGATATCTGCCAAAGTATTATTATTTGTTTAGACAGCACCATCAGTGCCTTATAGAGTTTCATAACCAAACCCAGACAGGTCCCTGTCCCCTAAGAAGCTTACAAGACTGCTGTTTTGGGAAACCAGGGGTTCTTTTCAGGACAAGAATGAATTAGTCTGTGCATTTTCTGTCTTTTCTAGAGACGAGAGAGAGAGAGAGAGAGACATACAGTAGTCCCAGTAGGATCCTGCTGCCTCTTTATCTGTTCTAGCCCCTGATGGAACAGGTTGTGCACCCTTTTTTAGGAATTCCAAAGAAAGCCTCAGGGGTCATGTTAGCCAAATTGCCCTATTTCTTAATAATAGCTTGGGGAATTTATGATATTAAACGGCAGTAGGCATATAAGGGAGAAATAACCTATGTATACAGGAGTCCCACCTAGTCCAGATTTCTAGAAATAGACGCAGAGACCAGATCTTAATGAAATGGTTTCTTTACTAGGGAATTTGCGCACACACAATAAAATTCAAGCATACACACAACAGTACAGACCTAAGGAAATTATACAGAAAGGTATAAAGACGTTTGCATTAGCAGGAGAAGTTTGTTGGTTGGGCAATAATTACCTGTCCAATGAGATGAAGCGATCCTGCAGCGAAAAATGAAGGGAGACTAAAAGGGAAAGGAGCCATATATTAACCAACAATACACGTGGTAGACTCTGGGCAGCGCTTAAACCGAGAGTCAGCAAGGTAGGTTGGGGTCAGGCAGAGAGGAAGTGAGAGATCGAGCATGGGCAGATGCTCTCCTTTTATGCTGTAAAAAGGGGTTTGGGGGTATGAGCCACCAAGCACATAGTCCCCAGGAAAATGCTAGACGCTGCTAGCGCCTTAATGGGCTAAAAGAATAGGATTAAGTGTTGGGCAATTGACCCTGATGCTGGGAAAGATTGAAAGTCAAAGAAGACGGGGACAGCAAAGGATGAGATGGTTAGACAGTGTCATAGATGCAATGAACATGAAATTGAGCAAACTTCAGAGGACGGCAGAAAACAGGAGGGCCTGGCGAGATCTTGTCCATGGGGTCACGAAGAGTCGGACTCGACTGTGCAACTGAGCAACAACAAAAATTGACACAATGTTTCTTTAAGTGACACCTTTCAGAGTTTGGGCTAAAGACAAAGGAGAAGAGCAGGCCTGGCTAGCCTTTAGCATCAACGATCCGATGATCTGCAGCTGCGTTACCTTGATGGGTGCTGGGTATGCTGGTCAGCCCAGTTAATCCTGTCACAGCCAAGTTCTTTTGTTTAACTTGAAGATGACTATGTGCCATTTCGGGTAACATTGCTAGGAAAAGGTGGTGGTGGGGAGATGTCTGCATGATGGAGACAATGCTTGCTATGGCGTTTGAGCAAGAAAGTCCAGGTTGTCTCGGCAAAGTATGGCTTCTCTATACGTCTCAATGCTTGTTCCTTGTAGTTGTGATTCTCAGGGAGGCTGACGTGCCGTCTACCTGGGTCTGCAGTGACTTTAGAGTTGCAGGGATGGATGGCATCGGGTCTTCCATGGGTCCACATCTGGCTCAAAATGCAGCTCCAGTGCAAGACTTC